GGTTTGGTTTTGGGGGGGTGGGGTGTGTGTTTTGTTTTTTTTTTTTGCTTCCACTGCTAAGCACATACCAGAAGTGTCTCTTTTACCAGTTTTTAGTTTGCTGCTTTTCCAGGCCGTTTTCACTGAATGGTTCCAGGAAAAGCTAGAAAAGACCTTGCAAGGTCACAGAGTTCCTCTATTTCATCTCCTTGGCCCAAGGCAGGATCTAATAACCCTAACCTGCTCTCAAGCATCCTGGCAGATGATCTTAAAAGTCTCCACTAATAGAGACTCTCCTATCTCCCTAACTTAAAAATTCTTTTTAATGGAAATTTTTGCCTCCTAACTTATAAATAATACATAAAATAAAGAAACCAACATGATTTCATTAATTATACAGGAGCGCTCGAGTTTTGACATGGGCAGCAGTGGGAGAATGCTATGAACTTGCCTGGTGTAGCTTCATTTTGTGTTCTGATGCGACCCACCAGATGAAAGAGGGCATGATTAAGGTATGTGTAGTTTGCTGCAGTAATGACCCCCCTTCTCACCTCTTGGCCTCTTGATTTTCTTTATGGTTCTGTACCCTGGAGAGTTCTCATTTATTCTGACATGCTTTCCTGGTCTTTGCTCATGCTGGTTTCACAAATGAAAATTTATGTCCTGTCTCCAGTGATGATCGTTAGTAAAACTGGTGTTACAGAAATACAGATGGGAGAGAGACAGGAAAGGGACTATATTAGACACAGACTATACACTGCTAAATGATGTGCAGGTTATGATCATATTTCACAGCAGGACCTACAGTAATGATTTATTGGATTATGCTTTGGCAGGAATAATGCCTTAAACACATGGAGAAAGTGTATTTACTAATATTGTTTAAAATTCGGCCTCAAAGGTAGCAGAGTGAATGCCAGTTGTTTTGTTCAAACTGAGTCTCTGTCCATATGATACTTTTTCTTCCAGTGTAGCCTAGGATTGGTGTGATCCAGAAATAGGAGTCTGGGGAAGCCTCTATCCAGAAAATGCTTGAAGTCACTTTCAAGCTGTGAGGGAAAGAGGTCAAGTGCCAGTACCTATCCAGAGGAAGGGATCAGTGAATCAGATTTGGTGGTGAGTTTATAGGTGAGCAGAAGCATGCACTCTGGTGTAGAGTGCAGGGTAAGAACCCTTTAGAATGGAATTGTGTGTCAAATGCATTAATTCAGAGCCAGGCCCTTCCTACATAGTAGCCAATGTATTGCTCATAGAGATTTCTCTGGTAACCACATGCTCTTTGATTTCTTTGAATGCTGTGATACAATTAGTTTCCTGTGATCTAGGTGCTTGCAATATATTGAAGAGTTGCTCCTGCAGCAGAAGTAATTATTGTCTCATTAGGTATAAAAATATTGTTATGAAGTCCATCCAGTTGTCCGGGCCACGTTCATTGCAACCGAAACCCTCCGTGCTATGGTCCATCAATGCACAAGAGTCACACCCACAGGCCCTCAGTCTGCCCCACTGATGTCAGTCTGCTCCAGGGTGATCAGTAAGTCCCACTTAGTATAAAAATATTGTTACAAAGTCCATCCAGTTGTCCAGGCCATGTTCATTGCAACCGAAACCCTCCGTGCTATGGTCCATCAATGCACAAGAGTCACACCCACAGGCCCTCAGTCTGCCCCACTGATGTCAGTCTGCTCCAGGGTGATCAGTAAGTCCCACTTTAATGGCCTTTTTTTTTTCCACTTACTATTGCTTTCCTTTAGCCAAGAGGTATAATGTTGAGTGATGCAGTAGATGTTTCAAAGTCCTCATCAATGAGGAGATTATCCTGTTCCCTAAATTAGGCATGTAATGGAATTTCAGAAATACAAAAGGAAATGTCCAAGCTAGGGTTGAATTGGCTGAGAAAGTTTTGGAATTAAAGCACGTAGAGGAGGCTTCCTATCATCCTGGCTTTTGATCAGAGTATTATGGTCTTTTATTTGTCTGGTGCCTGTTCCGTCTCTAAAACACTCGTGCAAGGAGCAGATTGGGAGAGAAAATACAGTTGGGTGATGCACTTGGTTTGCTGTAGAGGAATCAGTTACCTTTGCATTGCTTAGTTGCCTCCTGTCTTCTGATTTACTGTGACCTGCAAGTCCTCATCAATGAGGAGATTATCCTGTTCCCTAAATTAGGCATGTAATGGAATTTCAGAAATACAAAAGGAAATGTCCAAGCTAGGGTTGAATTGGCTGAGAAAGTTTTGGAATTAAAGCACGTAGAGGAGGCTTCCTATCATCCTGGCTTTTGATCAGAGTATTATGGTCTTTTATTTGTCTGGTGCCTGTTCCGTCTCTAAAACACTCGTGCAAGGAGCAGATTGGGAGAGAAAATACAGTTGGGTGATGCACTTGGTTTGCTGTAGAGGAATCAGTTACCTTTGCATTGCTTAGTTGCCTCCTGTCTTCTGATTTACTGTGACCTGCAAGGGAACATTCCTCAACCACAGCCAAGGCATTCAGGTGGAGCTAATTGAGCAATTAAATTATCAGGTGATGGAAGTAAAAATCTCATCCACACAGTGGATGGATTTAGCAATCTGACTCCTTTTAGTTTCCCTGACTATGATGTAAGGTGTGTGTTGCCATATAGGTGCGTGCTGTGCAAAACAGAGGTCAGCTGCTGTTCTGACACAGATGGCAGCTGACATCGGGTTCATGACTTCTCTCAGCTGACCATAGAAGAAGGTGACAGTTGAGGTTTCTAAGGTTAAACTGTGAAAGTGGACAGTCCATTTAATAGAGCTTCCCTTCCTAACTCCTCCGTTCTTGGAAGACTCCTGTCAGGAGTTTGTTGCTGTGGCTGAGCTAACACAAGCATGAAAAAACCCTTTCTTTTCAGTGGTGTCCATTTCACCTCTACGAAGGAGTGTGCAAAGCAAGGCAGTGCCCAAGTGCTGGTGGGTTTATACAGAATTTGGCAAAAGGAAGCAAATTCCATTTTGGTGAAGAGTAACAAAGATAATGATCTGGCTGAAGATCCATTCTGTATGATCAGTGGAGGCAATCTAAGATGCATGTGTTTCCTGAGAACATCGTAGAGAGGTAATGTTTTTCTATGCCAGCTGTCCAGTTTGGCAATTCTGGGAGTGATATATGTAATAATCATGGTAATAAAAGCACGTCAGAATTCTAGCTCCTCCTTCCTGTACAGAACTACTAATACACAAATTATTGTTCTAGCTGCAAGATTGATAATGCTAAAGCACACCTGTCCACAGCAATGCTGTCATTATTAAACAGGTACAGGATGGGGCATTAGAAATGCTGTTGCAATAGAAAACACAGGGAAACCTGAAACCCTAGAATGGAGGACTGAAAAGGGTGCAACGTGCTCACTGGGACAAACTTCTGCAGTCATGTTAGACAGGGGTATAATGGAGAAAATGCTGCTGCTGGATAGATCTGCTTTGCTGCCAGGGCAAGTGTTCTGTGTGTTGGTCTGAGCACATAATCTCAGACCATATTAGAATAGAGGGGAGAGAGAGAGAGAGAGAAAGTCTCTTTTGGCTTGGTAGAAGGGTTTGACTCTAAATTAAAGGGGATGTTGCAAAAGGTCATGAAGATTGACTCTGCAAGTTAAAATAGGTAGTTTCCTTGCCCTTTATTGAGAATACAGGAGGTCTTAAAATTGAGTCTATGTGTTTCTGCCCTCTTGGAATTCCAAGGGAAGGTAATTCTGAGGGGATGTCCAGACTCAGTGTGATCCCGTATGCCTTAAGGCTGAGGGAGAGACTAGCCTTGGCTTATCTCTTCTGTTTGGGAGAATGTATACATGAAGTTCCTGGTTCATCTCTTCTAACCCTGAAATACATGTATTTGACTTGTCATTTGGATTTGTTTAGCTTTAATTTTCAGCCCTTGGTTGGACCAGGTATTTTAGGAGCCCTTGCTCAGTGTCTTATTCAGGAATTCAACAGATAGAATTCTTTAATTAGATTACCGCAGAAATTTTCCATCTTGTAAATAATTTCTGCCATTCTTTACCCCAGGTTTTTCAATGCAATCTTTCAGTTGTGGACCCCACAGCCAGACTCAGGCTCCAGTGTTGTTTTCATCTGTAACAGGCCTAGAAGGGAAAATGCTCCCTGGTGGTTAAGATATTCCAGGGCTGTGATCAGACCCATTCCTGGGGAACGCCTCTGTGTGGCTCAGCCTCAGAAGAGAGGAAACAATTACTCATTTACTGATTCCTTCATGCTCGGTCTTCAGACGTAAAGCTGACCTAGAAGTTGCACTAAACTTTCATGTAGGACCAAACCCATGGATTCTTGACAAGCTCTGTTAATCCTGCACGCAAAATGTTGATAATATTACTGAGAAACTGAGTAACTGTGTACCTGCAGAAACCACATATTCCTCACGGGAGAGGAAAAAAAAAAAAAGCAGAGAAGTCAAACTAACAGCAAGCCTGTTTTTATTCTACCACGCAGGAGATTAATTAGATTACTTTGAGGCCTGACCTCCAATTTTGTATCCAAAGGTCATGGCTCTTGTGGGAGAGATCAATTAATATGTCAGTGTATCAGGCTCAACACAGAAATGCCATCTAAACAGTGCACAGGGAACCTTTGCATACTGTGTATTTGCCCTAGCAGATAGTTAATCTGGGTTACTGTTTGCTACCGGTTCCATTGCTCTTGCTCAAGAGCATTAGCAAATATTTATTTGACAGAATGTTCTGTTCCTCTCCTCTCTTTTCTTTTTCTTGTCCTTTTTTTTTTTTCTTTTCCTCCTCTCTCCTAAGAAATTGCAGGCTAACCCCAGGGCTGCTCCAGGCTGCAAACATCACTGTTGCAGGCTGAACTCTAGTAAAAGAAGTTTCTTTATTGCTGATGAGGGAGAGCAGGAAATGTCTTGGGAATGATCTGCCAAGCAGGGAAAGGGCCTTTAATCAAAGGGTAAGAAAACAGAAGAAAGGAAATAGAGCACTTTGACTTACCTGAAAACACTCAACAAATTGAATACCAAAGTGAATAATCTATTTAGACCAGTAGAAGCAAAAATCAGGCTTGTGAATAGCAGCGACCAAGTGTCTGCTAATAGCCCCTGTTGGAGACAGGACTGCTATCTGATCTAGTGTGGCTGCCTTCTTGTTGTTTTAGTAGAAGGTTGTGTTTAAAGATCTCACTAGAAGATCTCCAAAGGCCTCCATGCTGGTCCCGCAGGTATTGCTTCCCAGTATACTGATTAATCAGTTTTCTTCAGATGTTTTTCATACGCTACATTGAAAGTGTTGAGTGCTATACAAGTCCCTATCGTTTCCTTTTGTACATATGACGCAGAGCAAGTGGTAGTTATCAATGGCTCGTTAACACCTGGAAGTTACAGAAATCCCAGTTGACAGAAGGGGAGGGGGAGATGATAGGCTAGCAAATGACTTGTATCATAGAAATGTTTGTTTCCGACATGGCGGGGTGATGGAACGGTGCTCTCAGAGACAGACATTTAGGATGGAAACAAAATAATGATAAGACACTAAAAGCCCTTATCCATTTGACCACGCTCCAGGGAAAGGTAAATTGTACTGCTTACCCAGCAAATGTTCTCAAATTTGTTCCTGTAGGAGAATCTGTGGAGCCATATATGCTTGTCAAGTCAGAATGCACGGTCCCTGCTTGTTTCTGCACTCTGCAGAAGTCCGTGCGTGGCTGTCCTCTGGTGTTTTGAGGGCTGCTTTGGTGTTTTAGGCAGACAGAGGCCCTGAAAGAGGCTGCCAGGCTCTGAGAGTGGCATAGGGGTGTCCTTTTCCTTGCCTCGGAGGTTTTGAGAGGCAAGGAAGGCTGTCGGAGAGGCTTTGTGGCCATCCAGGAATATTAAAACAGCTGTCTGTATCTGTTCACGGCGAGTGGCCATACCTCACCCCAACATCCATCTGTCTCCCTAAGGTAACTGATTGTTTGGGGTGGCACGTAGACATCCCTACAGTCTCTGCCTTGTTCTGACAACTCCAGATTCTTTCAGGCAGAAAGGGGATGACGGCCCCTGCCTCTCCTGTCTGACAGGCGCGCTGTAAGGATGGAAGAGGCTAAATTAAAACCAGCAGAAGTAGACTTTCTGGTTTTTCTTGATAACTGGTATAAAGGAGAGAAGGGAGCAGTCTGTGCACTGCAATTAACATCGAGTGCTATTGCAACTCATCCTGTAATGCGATATAGATACAATCTCAGCAGAAAATTGCATGCTGCACTGAGTCAGAAACATAGAGCAATGCTTGGTTTTGAAGAAAGTAATTAGCCCCAGGGACCTGGTGGTTTCTCATTTCCCCTATGGTAAACACAGGGAAGTGGGGCAGTACTTCCCATAGGCTTCCAAAGCCAATTTAGACAAGGTAGAGAGCCAGTTTATAAACCAAAGTTTTAATGAAGGCTTAGCAAGAGGCAGGCACGCCTCCAGCTTTCCTGCAGTGCCCACCACGTACCATGGCTCTGCTGCCATGCAGCTTGTCTTCTCTGAGCTCCCAGCACCCTGTCTCTGTCACCTTGTCTCTGCCAGCCTGAGCCCCTGCCAACGCAGCCCCACTTTGGTGTCCTCTGCCACCTCTCCAGCCAAGGGTGATGCTGTATGGCAGCCTCCCTGGGCCACCATTCACCATGCTGGCCAGCAGCCAGGCACCATGGCCTGCTCTCTGTGTGGTCCTTCACCCAGCCACGTCTTCCCAGCCCTTGGTACAATGATGGTCCTGGCCTTTCCTGGTGTAACCCTGCCCTTTGCCTTCACAAAAGTAGCACTTTGAGGACAAAAGTAGCAATTTGAGGTTTTCCAGGGCTCACCCATCATGTGAGTTCTGCTTTCCTTCTCCTGTTGAAGATCAGAAGTGCACTGAATCACAGAAAGAAGACATCCGGTAGCCAGGAAAACTTTGATCTTACTAATGACAGGACCTACTGGCAGCTCACAATTAATATGAGAAGCAAGGAATTGAGCTGTTCGGGTAACATAGCAGGGATGACAGTAATTTCTGTTTATGCTCTATCTTTAAATGAAAAGTGAGTTTGGTTCTAAAATACATGTAGCTCGTGCCTGCTCTGGGTAACCACAAGTTCCTGTGTCCAGGATTCTTGCTCCTGCTTTCCTGACCTATAACTTGTCATCTTTCTGTGGTTTGTCACATCCAGAAAAAAACCTGCAGGGTCTTTGGGGCATAATCACGTCCTTGTCTCTTGTGAAATGCATAGTCCACGTGAGGCATCACAATGAAATGAAATACTGTGCTTCAGTGAGTTTGCCACACTGCTTTGTGTCTTCCTGCACCTCTTTCCCCAGAGCTGCACCAAACAACACAGAGAACCAATATCTTGCATGGTATGTATCTTACGTGCCTGCAGTTAACTCTTTTGTTCAGCTTTTGTCTGGAATTGCATGGTCAATGTAGCCTAGCATGTGTGGTGCCTCAGAGGATAGTTTTCCGCACCTTCTTTCATTCAGTTGCTGGAAAAACAGATGATGATAAAGATCTTCATAAATAAAATTATTTCCCTGTTTCGGTATCTTGAAGTGTTGATCCTAGGAGCTGGTTAGGAAATAAACACAGGACTCATCATTTGGACTCTTTAAACTGTTTGTAGGACTGTAGGCTTCTGAGACCAAGTGTGTGTTCAATCTTCTGGATTCTGTAAGTGCCCCCTAGTGACTAATTCTCTGAACCAGGTCTCTGAACCCAACCTCTGTTGGGTTTTCACTGTTGGAGATACACCAGCCACTGAGGGGGTCATTGTCTGGTCTGGACAGGGCAGGAGCTGGGTAAATGTCCTCATATTATTTTGAGGGCACCACTAGTTTGTCCTGCAGAAGCGAATAGGAATGATCACTGAGAAGTCACTCCGCAGAGCTCAGGAAAGCAAATGACTAAATGCATGCACACTGCTATTGTGGAAATGGCACATCTGAATTGAAACATGAGTCAAATGAGTGCAAGCCCATGGAAGAAAAACTATTGGGCTGTTACTGCACAACACTTCAATGGTGTCAGTGAAGTGTGACATTTGTGACTTGTTTTTTTCCTTTCTGTATAATTATCCTTTAAGGTTTGAGAAGGGGCCACA